AAGTCACAACACAATCCATGAAATTAAAGATTCGTAAGAAATTAAAGAATTATTCCCTCCTGAACAAGTGGGTTTAGAGATTTAGTCGAGAAACTGACAAAATGCGGAGAAGAGTTGTTGTAGCTAAACATGACTATGAGGTTAATTATCTAATCCCATTTTAAACTACCTCCAATAACTCGACGTAGGTGTTGTTGGAAGCGTAGATGGGCTCATGATAATTTATAACTTGAACTTTTTATTGATACGAAACAAAATACGTTACACTGAAACTACATCAATATTACAATACTAGCTACGACTAGTTTACAAACTCACAAATATAGCTTTGCTAAGCTCTATAAATTTTCTCTAATTTTTCCTCACTTCTCACTCGTATTTTTCTTCCACTCACTCACACACTATTTGCTACAAATTACATACATATATATAGGAAACTAAACCGACTTATTTGAAGCTTCTCAAATTCTCTCGCCGCCTCTTGTTTCAACAATTATTGTTTTGACACGTTAAGCATGTTGGCTCCATTCAAGTGTGGCTACCGACACTATGATTTTTCATTTTCCAAGTTGCCTATAATATTTTTTATTGTTTTGTTTGCTGACACGTTTAAACTTTCTACACTCTTCTTGCCGACGTGTTGTTGAGTTTGAATTTCCAACACTCCCCCTCAAACTCGACTTTTCATTCCGAGCTTTTCTTTGAGTCGGTTGGATATATCTACTCTCAATAGTTTTATGAAAATGTTTGCTAGTCTTATTTGAGTCGATTGAATTTCCAACACTCCCCCTCTCGTATAAAGTGATACTTTGTATCAATATGCTTGCTTCAGTTATGGGAGACTGGATTCTTAGCAAGGGAAATTGTAGACTTGTTGTCGACATAGATTGTAGTTTGTTCTTCTTATGCCACATTTAGCTCGTTCAAAATATTTTTTAACCACATTGCTTGACAAGTGCACGCTGCTACAGCTATGTATTCTGCTTCACATGTTGAAAGAGCTACCGTTTGTTGTTTCTTTGATGACCATGAAAATGCTACAGAGCCGATATGAAATAGATATCCAGTTGTGCTTTTTCGATCGTCTAAGTCTCCCCCATAGTCACTATCAGAATAACCAACCAGCTTTGAATTTTTTGAATACGTGTAAAACAAACCATGATCTGTTGTACCTTTGACATATCTAAGGATTCTTTTTGCTGCAATCAATGATCTTGTTTTGGATTCTCCATGAATTTGCTTACAAATCCCACAATGTATGTTATGTCTGGTCGTGCGATAGTTAGATACCTTAAACTTCCAACGATGCTTTTAAACAACGTCGGATTTACTTGCTCTCTTGTTGAATTCACAATTAATTTGATTCCTGGTTCTGCTGGAGTGGCTACTGGCTTGCAATCTTCCATTCTAAATTTTCTTAAAATTTCTTCTGCATACTTCTTTTGTGATATAAATATTCCTTCTTGCATTTGCTTTACTTCAACTCCAAGGAAGTATGACATTTCTCCAATATCTGTCATTTCAAATTCTTTAGTCATAGCTTTCTTAAAATCATTGAACATACCTGGATTATTTCCTGTGAAAATCATGTCATCCACATATAAGCACACGATCATGATATCACCATCTTCATTTTTCTTTGTGTATAAGGCATGCTCGTATGAACTCTTCATGAACCCATTTCTTTGGAAATATTCATCAATTCTCGTGTTCCATGCTTTCGGGGCTTGCTTCAGACCATATAATGCTTTCTTCAATCGGTAAACTTTGTCTTCATGTCCCTTTTTAATGTATCCAAGTGGTTGCTCAATATAAACTTCTTCTTCTAGGTAGCCATTTAGAAATGCCGACTTCACATCCATTTAATAAATTTTCCATCATTTTTGTGTTGTGACTGCTGTGAGAAGTCTGATGGTCTCTATCCTTACTACTGGAGCAAACACTTCATCATAGTCTATTCCTTGTCTTTTCTTATAGCCTTTGACAACTAGCCTCGCTTTGTGCTTCTCGACATTTCCTTCTTTATTGGTCTTTGTCTTGTAAACCCATTTTACTCCAATTGGGTTATGACTTTCTGGTTGTCTTGTTAGCTCCCATTTATCATTTCTTTCTATTGATGCAATTTCTTCATCCATTGCATTCCTCCATTTGTCATCTTCAACCACTTCTTCGTATGTTATTGGATCACTGTTCACAAGTAAGCAGAAAAGTGAAATATTATTTAGTTCATAATCGTTGTACCTTTCTGGCATTCTTTTCTCTCTTGTAGATCTTCGAACTTCTGTGGGAGGTGCTTTAGAATCTTCTATTATGTTACTGGCATCGCTGCTGCTGCTTGACGATGATAGTACATTTTGTTAAGGACCTTGATCATCAACTTGTTCATCATCTTTATCTTCATTAAAAAATAGTCCTTCAACTTTCTTTTCCTCTTTGCTCAACCTCCAATAGTCTACTTCATCGAACTCGACATCTCTTGAAATTATTACCTTCTTGGTAAGAGGATTATATAATCTGTAAGCTTTGCTTCTTTCACCATAGCCAATGAAAATACATTTTTCTCCTCTGTCATCAAACTTCTTTCTGGTCTATTCAGGAACGTGGGCATATGCAAAGCATCCAAAAATCTTGAGGTATCAAACTCCTGGTTTTTCTGTCCACTCCATGATTTGTTTGGCGTCATATACTTCACACTTTTTGTTGGACATCTGTTCAATAGATAAACTGCACATCGAACTACTTCAGCGCAGAAATTTCTTGGTAGTTGCTTACTTTTTATCATGCTTCTTGCCATGTCCAAGATTGTGCAGTTCTTCCTTTATGAAACTCCATTTTGTTGTGGCGTGTATCTGGCTGTCAGCTGATGGATGATGCCATGCTCTTTGCAGAATTCTTCAAATAACTTTGATATATATTCCCCTCCTCTATCTGATCTTAGTATCTTCAAATATTGACTGCTTTGTTTTTCTGCCATTGCTTTAAATTCTTTCAATTTTTCCAGTGCTTCTGACTTTTCTTTCAATATGTAAATCCAACATTTTCTACTAAAATCATCAATAAAAGTTAGGTAGTATCTGTTACTTCCAAGCGATGGTATATCAAAATGACCGGCTATATCTGTGTGTACTATCTCCAGCGGTCTTCGAGCACGCCAGGATCTACCAACTTCAAAGCTTTGTCTATGTTGTTTTCCTTTGATGCAAGCCTCACATAATTGATTTGGAGGGTTGATCTCTGGTAGTCCTTTCACCATGCTTGTTTTTTATAACAGCTTCAAACCAGAAAATCTAAGAGTCCATATCTTAGATGCCATAGCCATGAATCATCTTTGATCGCGGTCTTCATGCACTTGACTTCTCCCGACTCGATATCAATTGTAAAGAGACGATTTTGAGTCATATCAACTTGGACTATCAATTCTCCTTCTTTATTTTTGATAGCAAGCGAGCGATTCTTCATCTGCACTTCATATCCTTTTTCCAGGAGTTGACCAAGACTAATGATATTGCTTTTCAAAGCAGGTACATAATAAACATCTGAAATGTATTTATTTTCTCCATTTCTCTGAGTAATCATGACTTTGCCTTTTCCTTTTAGTTCTGCGTGCGAGTCATCTCCGAAAGTTACTCGCCCATAAACTGTTTCATCTAATTTCAGAAACAATTCCCTTTGACCACACATATGGTTACTGACACAATTATCAAGATACCAAATATTTTTTCTTGAATTCTTCATTTCCTTTATAAGTGAGGAATACATGAGATTTTTCAATTTTTTCTTCTTCAACTGCTGCTACGTTATTTATTTCTTCTTGTTTAAGAGCAGATCTACACTCATAACTATAATGACCATACTTATTGCAATTATAACATTGTACTTGGAATTTATTTCCTTGTTGATATCTGCCTCTACCTCGGCCTCTGAATCCTCTTCCACGACATGATGTTGGATTGTTTTCACTCATTTAATCGGTGCTATATGATCGACCACCACGTCCACGAGTTCCTTGTCATTCTCTGTATCTTCCACGATAACCGCCACGATTTCCTTGACCTCGTGTGTAGCTGCTGCTAGCTTCTCCTTCGTTGACATTCATCTTGCTTTGTAGAGCTTGCTCCAAATTTTCTCAATCTTCATTTTGTTTCATTTTCTTCTCATGAGCTTGAAGTGAACCTAAAAGCTCATCGATCGATATTTGAGATAAATCTTTCGATTCTTCAATTGCCACAATCACGTAATCAAATTTTCTTGTTAATGACCACAAAATTTTTTCCATCACTCTAACCTCGTCGAGTGATTCAACATTTCTTTTTATTTCATTCATGACCGCTTTCACATGACTAATATAATCATCGATGGTTTCTATATTTTTCATTTTTAACATCTCAAACTCAGCTCTGAGAGTTTGTAAGCATACATTCTTTACTTTTTCGGCACCTTGTAGATATTTTTGCAGAATGCTCCAATTTCCGTAATTTGTCTTTGTCAATCTCGGGATTTGTGGTTGAATCATGTTGGCCATCTTCTCTACCACGTTGAACTCGAACCAAGCTCTGAGGCCACTTGTTGGAAGCATAGATGGGCTCACGATAATTTATAACTTGAACTTTTTATTGATACGAAACAAAATATGTTACAATGCACTACCTCAATATTACAATACTAGCTACGGCTAGTTTACAAACTCACAAATATAGCTTTGCTAAGTTCTCTAAATTTTCTCTAATTTTTCCTCACTTCTCACTCGTATTTTTCTTCCACTCACTCACACACTCTTTGTTACAAATTACATACATATATATAGGAAACTAAACCGACTTATTTGAAGCTTCTCAAATTCTCTCGCCGCCTCTTGTTTCAACAATTATTGTTTTGCCACGTTAAGCATGTTGGCTCCATTCAAGTGTGGCTGCCGACACTTTGATTTTTCATTTGCCAAGTTGCCTATAATATTTTTTATTGTTTTGTTTCCTGCCACGTTTAAACTTTCTACACTCTTATTGCCGACATGTTGGTGTGGAGAAACATTATACAACCTTTGGGAGAAAATGATGATTTGTTTAATAAGGACCTAAGACTTTCTTTAGGAGATGGAAAGTTGATAGATTTTTGGAATGGATATTGGACTAGCTTCCCTTCGTTGAAAGAGGCTTTCTCAAGGATTTTCGGATTAGCGATTAAAAAATTGGGGAATGTAGCCGAGTTCGGATCAAAGATAGAAGGGAAGTGGGTGTAGAAAATAGAGATTCGAAGGGTCCTTTTCTCTTGGGAAACTAGCTTTTGGGATGACTTCATTAGTACTTTAAACGAAGCGACTCGATGTAATATCGAGAAGGACGGATTGCGGTGGTTGGGATCCTCGGATGGGGTCTATAATCCAAGGAGTTTTTCTTCCAAAGCAGTGTTTGTGGAGGACGAGTGAGATAATTTCTGGGAGAAGATGTGGTCGAACCTAGCCCCTCCGAAAGTAGAGTTTTTAATTTGGAGTGCTATTCTAAATAGATTACCGGTCCTTACGGAAATTGAAAAACAGGGTGTTTCTAATTTGGTATCTTGTGTGCGTGTTATGCCATAAAGACAGAGACCGTAACACATATTTTCTCCCATTGTGAGATGGTTTGGCGAGCTTGGCAAAGATGGTTCTCAATATGGAATCTCAACTTCATTTGCCCAGGTGACGTTTGAGCGCTTCTCTCATCCTGGTTTGGATTCCCAATTACTAAGTCATGTAAACTGGTCTGGAATTTAGCTTTCTTTGCTTTTTTCTGGTCTATATGGATTTGCAGGAACGATGTTCGGTTTAATAATAGCTGCTGGAATGAAGAGAAGTTGTTTGAGGTAGCGATTTTGAGATTTAGGTGCTGGTGTAAGTGGAAGTGGCCAGAGTTATGCCCTTCCATCTGCGACATCATCTTCTCTCCATTTGGTCTCATTTCGTTTCGGAGGTAATTGTTTTCAGTTCTTGTGGCTCTATTCTGATAAGAAAAGAAGGTATGCAGCGCTGCTTTATATCGTTTTATGGCTGTGGTTGATTGGATTTTTGATTGAATTTCTTGGAAGATGTCTATCTTCTGTGTTTGCAGGTGTTCGGAAGAGGAAGATGGCAATGATTTTAACTGTTTGTGCTCCATAACATTCCTTCTAGTGAAGCTTGTGGTTGAAATATTCTTCTCTGGCTTGATGCGTGAGAGCGTTATGTTGGTCAAAGAGTTTATGCTTTGCTGTTGTGGGGTAGCAGGTTGCGACGAGGATCTGTGTATTGCCAACTGAGGTGGGAGATGTTTGATGGCCATAAGCTTATACTTCCTTTGGATACAAGAGCAAGCAGAATCGTTGTTCGACCCTCAATTGATCCAGTTTCTGCAGTTGCAGTCAGCCTGGTGTAGTCGGTGGTCTGGATTTTGTATTGCCGCAGATAAATTATTTAGAATTTCTATTCGGATGTGTTTGTTTGTGGTGTTTAGAGAGGCCCTTTCAACGTAAGTTCGTAGCAGATTATCTCTTGGATTTTCCTAGCCGTGCTTTTTGTTTAGTTGTGGAAGTTGTTTGAATAGTCAGGTTAAGTGATGTTATGATTTTGGTCCAACTTTGTGTGAGAAAAACTAATCTTGTTGGAATTGTTGATTTCTAGGTGGGTAACATAGGATATGTATTAGTGTGATGACTGCTGGTTTTGGCTGTGTCTTGGGATTTTATTTTGTAAGGGTGGACTATTGAGTAACAACATAGATATGGTAAACTTTTTTTCCTCCGTTTGATCTAGGGAGGTATTTTTAACGATGTTCATGTATATTTCATGTTTTTACTTGTTATCGTAATAATACAATACAAAATTCTATTTTTAAAATAAATTCATAAGATAGAGAACAATTTTTGATTACTCTCACATTCTCTAATCTTAATGTGTCTAAATTAATATAATATAAGAGGTGTAAACATTTTTCTCCTTCAATTTTACTTGAGTAAACTAGATTTTTTCAAAGTTTTAATATACTAATTAGTGTGAGTGTCTTCGAATTATAAAATTTCTTTAAATTATATCTTATTTGTAATATTGTCTCTTTAAAAGGAAAATTCAATATTTTCCTAATTCTTCAAAAGATGAATTGATAAATAGGAATATTATAAGTAAACAATCTCTTCTCATTCCTCTATCTATAAGTATAATAATAAAAATTTAATAGCTACAAAAGTTTTTAGTAGCATTATTGTATATTATTTATTTATATGAGAAAATAACCTCAGTGATCAAAAATGCCTTATAATATACGATTTTAACCAACTTTTTTTGGATTTGCCAAAATGACCAACAAAATCGCAATGCGAAATAAAAATCGCAACGCGATCTCTAGAATCGCAAATCAGTTCCAGAATCGCAACGCGATTATGAAGAATCGCAATGCGATAGTACAAATTCGCATTGCGATTTTCCAGAATCGCAACGCGAACATATAAATCGCAACGCGATTCTGACTATCGCAACGAGTATCCGTAAAATCGCAACCCGTATCCGTAAATCGCAACGACAATACGTAAATCGCAACGCGTATCTGTAAATCGCAACGAGAATACGTAAATCGCAATGCGTATCCGTAAATCACAATGCGAATACGTAAATCGCAATGCGAATACGTAAATCGCAACGCGATTTTTAAAGCGCCATTATAATCGCTACACGTATTTTATTTTCAAATTCCAAACATGAATATTAATTATCGGAACACTGAACCGTCCACTCCCGTAATCGCAGCTCATAACCTAAAACCTAAAAAAAATCACAACTCTGTCCCATCTCCATCTCTCACTCTCTACGGTGAAATCCGTCCCCATCTCCAAAGATTTCCGTCCCCATCTCCGGCGAAATCCCTCACAACCATTCACGGTCAGAAATCCCTCACAATCATTCAGAAATGGAAAATCAACCTCCGAGGGTTAGTTTTTTTAATTATTTTTATTTTGAAATTTTTGCATTATTTTAGGTTTTTCATATTGAAATTGATGATAAGTATTTGTCTTTAACCCTGTGAAGTTAGTATTTGTCTTTGTTTTGTCTTTTGGTTGAAGTAATACAATCCATTAAAGTTTCAATTTGCAGAAGAAGAATAGTTTCTAAACTTAAAATCGCAACATGAAAATGAAAATCGCAACACGAAAATGACTATCGCAACGAGAGAAATGAAAATCGCAACGAGAGAATCGCAACGCAAAATGAAAATCGCAACGAGATAATCGCAACGTGAAACCAAAATCGCATTGCAATTTTCATTTCGCGTTGCGATTTTTATTTCGCTACGCGATTCTCTCGTTGCGATTTTCATTTCGCGTTGTGATTCTCTCGTTGCGATAGTCATTTCCGCGTTGCGATTTTCATTCTCTCGTTGCGATTTTCATTTCAACCAAAAGACAAAACAGTGTTGAAAATTTTAGTTTCAAGAATAAACTACTACTCTTTATGTTTATTGTTTTTGGTATATCTTCACAGTGTAGTTTTTGGTATATCTAACTTGATATGTTTATTGCTTTTGTAGAAATTTTTTTCGGCTTCATTGACATTAAGGAATAAAGTTAGCCTAGCCACTACAATTACTTCGAAGCTTTCACCTGCACAAAGAAAATTGTTTGAGGAAACCTGCTTCGAGCCATGGCTGAGAGTACAGCATCCGGGTGGAGATGCTAATTTCACCCATTTATGGCTTCAGACCATGACTAGCGATCTACCCGATAGTATACAACGTGGTGAGGAAGAGATATGATTTCATTTTCCACCGGCGTATACTTGTTTTGGGCGGAAGGAGTTCTGCTTAATCACTGGTCTACGATTCGGACACGATGATGTAGGCCGGTACACTCGTCATATCACCCGCCCATCATGGTTATCCCGGGTTTTTCCTAATGAGTCAATAGAGAAGCCGAACTTACACGTCGAAGACCTGAAGAAATTGTTTAATAAGAAAGATGGTTTTACTCGGATGAATGACGTCGATGTTGTCCGAGTATGCCTTCTAGTACTTGTGTATGCCGGCTTTTTAGGCAGAGAGGCCAGACAACCTATTCCTCAGGAGCTAATATTATTGGTAGAGGACCTAAATGCATGGAATCTGTTTCCGTGGGGTTCGTATATATGGAAAGCTACCTGGACTAAGTTGTCGTCTGCCTTTGATGACCGCAAAAGTTTGCGTGGCGATGGGTCGAAATACACTTTGTCAGACTTTGTTTGGGACTTTAAGGTAAGAATTTCTATATAATGTTTTCAAAATTATAATTAATTATTTAACAATTACTAATGTTTGTTATTATATTGTTTGTAGATTTGGATATTCGAGGCTTTCCCCAGCATGCGGACATATGCATTAAAAACTTTAAATGATATTCCTAGGGCTATTTCCTGGAAGAGGAACCGTCTGTTGGATTGGGAAGACTTAATACCATATGCGACAATAAATAATGTAAGTTAACACAAATACTATCATATATAAACAAGTTATTAATAGTAGACGTTTAACTTTGTTTTAGTTTTTATATTTTTAGGAGGCCAACACTCCATTACAGAGACTGACACCCACGGAGGCTGAGCTTGCCACTGATTGGTGGCAAGCTAGTCAGCATTTTTTTGATGGCACGAATGATGAGCAGCCTCCCCTTCCTCCACTTCGAGAGCCATCACCTCACCCAGAGCCATCACCTGATCGACCCGACTATACACCTCTACAACGAGAGCCATCACCTATCCCGTCACATCATCGAGCCTCTTCTCCACCATCACCTTATGATAGGCGACCGGCAAAGATGCCACGACTTCTATCTCTTTGTTCTCCACCTCCATGGGATGATTCAAGGGAGTTACGTGATGAGGTCAATGCCTTGCGTGAGGAGATCGGTACTCTACGCGATAACGATGGTGCATGGCGTGTGGAGGTGTCTACTTTACGTGGTGAGGTTGCCGCTCTACGTGAGATGGTAGTATCGTTGCAGAATGAGGTTCATACTCTACGCAACGAGGTAAGTTTGAGATTTTCCATATTTAACTTGATGATAAATTTACTCGTAATTTCACTTAGATTAACCATTTCACTTAGATTGCTTAGTAAATTTATTCGGTTGCTGCCAATACTGCTAAACTATTTATTCTTTAACACTGTGAAGTTAGTATTTGTCTTTGTTTTCACTGTTTAAATATCATGTCTGTTTATTTACTGATTTTTGTATTTAATTATTTAGCGGCCCGATAAGGTGGATGCTTTACGTCGGGTTTTTCTTGCACGACGGAGTTCACGTATCAGACGACGTGCACGTGCTATTAAGTCTCCGTACACCCCAATAGTGTGAAGATACCGCAAGAAGAAGCCCGACTCGCCTGTCATCCCTCAAGAGTTCACTCCTATCGTTGAAGAGGCCCCTATCATTCCTCGAAAGTCCCCTCCCACCGTTCAAGAGGCCACTGTCATCGTTGAAGAGGTCCCTCCCATCATTCAAGAGCCCGATTCACTTGGCGTCATATGTAATATTCTTGAGAAACCCTCTGACATGCCGGACATGATGGATAAGAGTTGGCTCTTGTATGAGTTACCGGCCAGTACCATTCCGGTATCTAAAGTGGAGAGGAGACAACTACCAGACACAATTCTGGATAACACCCTTTGGGCTAAGACCGCAGTTGATTTTTATCTACATGAGCGGAGCCAGGGGTGTTTCACTGATATATGCAAGCTCAACGATGATATCTATTTGTTACTTGATCGGTCTTGGTGGGGCGTATTATTAGGGGTCGAAGACAATGGCTATTTCGATGGAGGGGTAAGTCTTATATTTTTCTTATATTTCAATTTGATTATTTTTTTTTAAATTTATGTAAGTCACTAATATATGTATTTTTTTGTAAAACAGCATATCGATGCGTGGGTGTCACGTCTTCTAATAATTAGGAAACTTAAGAAAAATAAAAGAAATACACGATATACAATTATGCCGACGTCTTTTAACGTCGTTCACTTGAAGAATCAACGAGATGAATCATTTGCCTTGGGCAATGGACAAGCTAAACTTTATCCTGCATGGTGGGAGGTCGATAAGGTTAGTATTTATTTTAGGTTGAGTTTAAAGGTATTCATAAATAAGTGCGCAAATGAATGAATTATTACTTATGATTGCAGGTGTTTATCCCTGTTTTGGAAAGTAAACATTGGATTCTCGTCGAGCTTCAGCTCCCATCCCTTAAGGCAATAGTATATGACAGCATGATAAATTACATATCATTAGCTGATTTAAGAGATATTATTAAGGGATGGAGCTCTCATTTGGCTAAATTCTTGGATGCGATAAATTATTGGACTCGTTCTGGAAACAAGAAGCCAAAGAAGCTCAATATTACAGTTAGCAGAGACGAGACTGCACCACAATAAACGAAGGAAGCCAGAGGGGATTGTGGTCCTCTCGTATGCATGTGCTTGGAGCGTTTGACGACAGAAATTACACATTTTCTACCTCCCACCGATAGAGATAGAGGTGCAGTAGGCTTGTGGTTTCAACATTTTATGGCTAGAGCGATATATGCGAGACGCTGCCTACATGCATCCGCGTTATGAAAATGTCCATAAACAATTGGTAAGTTTATAGGCTTTTTGGTTTGAAAATGTTTGGTTAAGTACCTAGAATTCAATAATTTGCTGTTTGTAGGTTTAGATGTGTAGAAAGTGTTGTTTGAGCAAATGTTTGGTTTCTGCAGGTTAATCTTAGAAATGAGCTGCGTGAAAATGATGTATGGCTGCAAAAGTTGA